AGAGTTCGACGGCTCCGGCTCTGCAGATGCCCAGCTAAAAGTAGGCCCGCCAAAGCGGTACCGTCTAGCTGACTCAATTGCTAGCTGGTTCCCTGATGTACATATGTCAGCGATGTATGTACAGAGCAGTACATGAGAGTCTCTGCGGCGATTCGTTGACGTGTCCTTTTGGTCCAAAATCCACGGTATCGTGTGCAATTTGACACTGGTCTTGACATCAGACGTCCGAGATGTGGCCCAGAGTGCAATGCTTTTCGTATGTAATGAAAGCTTGACACGCTCCGGCAAGCAGTTTGGTAATTAATGCTTTTTTAGAGCATTTGAAAGGAAAGGCCTACACCCTGAGTCACATCTCCGATGTCGGTTATCATCAAGGCCAGTGTCCGGTCTCCACCTACACCGCCGAGCCCTCCTCGAAGCTGCAGGTTGCATCAACACAACGTAATTGCCTTGCAGGACAAGTACAAGAAGGCGGGCGTGAGGAAGCTAGAAGAACTCTCACCATTCGTGATAAGGGATTTCCATCACGAACGATGGAGGCGTTGGTTTGTCATACATCCGTTATTTATCTTGCGAATACGTAAGAGATCCTATCACATGTCTTTTTCGACTCTGCTGCATGCATTAGAAGACCATTATCGGACTGCTAATCTTCAAAAGCAACATCTAACAAGTTAGAACTGGATGCTTTTTACTTTGGAGGAAAGCTAAAAAGTGTGTGTGTTTCCAACAAAAGATGAAATTCTTCACAAAGAGATTTTTCTTCAACCTCTTCAGCTCATCAACACTTGTGTCAAGCTTCGTACTCCCCTCAGGAAAAGTAGCACCACGGACTACATGCTAAATGCGTTGCAATTCAGACCGTGAAGGCTACCACGGCTTTAAATGCGCATCACAGCGTCTTACGAGTTGGAGACATATATCACCTAAATGAGATACTTCCAACGCATAACGCCCTATCGTGAAAGGGTTCCCGACCAGTAAAAAACTCCCTGAACAGTCCTCCTCCAGAAAAAGACAAGGAGGATTTTTGAAACTACTATCCAACATGCTGCTAAGCGTTCTTCACAAGATTCTTACTAAAAGTCTTCGCAATCCCATATCAAATAAAGCGGATGGAGTCGAACCTAAGAACAAATTAAATTTTGGAAAGGATTTAGCTCCATGAGTCACGCCGTCTCGAGAATTATTATAGTTTGCTGACCTCGCTTTTTACTTTCAACAGTTACGAAAGCCTTTGACAGCGAGAGCATCGAAACTATCGCCATACTGTCAGTGCTCCCCGAGCAAGAGACGGCCCGTTTACTTGAATACATTGGCCGGCTCTTTTAAGGACTGCTTTCTTACAGCACGCCTTTTCTATCGTTCTCCAAGCATACCAGTTGCGAAAGGGTCCCAACATGGCACACCGTACCGCTAGAGCGTGTACCGTCTTGCACTAGGTGGTGGGGTTATTAAATTAGAACGAAAGAGTAATGGAGTAGATAGAAGATTTCCTCCGAGACTTCTTTTGCGACAACATTGTTTTTTTTTGAGATATCAATGAGGCGGAGGCGAGCTGTAAGGACTAAACGAAGTAGGGAAGGGGATTATACTGCGAATTGACCGAAAGATCAGTTTATAGGACACCTTTTTGCATCATGAAATGGAATTAAAAATCTTCTGACTGGGAGACGTCTTTTATATGTGGGGTGTTGATAAACATGGAAATTCGGAGGAAGAACTAAACGGAGGACGAAGAGCAGCTCGGATCGCATAATCCTGCAACGGAAGTACCAGCTGATAAACCCAAGCTCAGAGGACGTTGCTGTTCTCCCAGCGCTCTATTACTCAGCAGAGACATGGCTTGACATGAAAAACCCGCGCGCTGGGACAACGTCTTCTGAAGTACATTGTAAGTACATTGAAGTACAGTGCATTTCGTCGGACTCCGCAGTTCAGATATGTGATCAATGCATCGTCTTAGAGACCTC